GCTCGTGCTCCCTCTGTCTTCTTACCTCACGTCTTGAATCTTGGGACGAGATTCTTGTTTAGTGGGGGTGAGTTGTCACATCCCTAGCTTTACCCTGGCCTTGGACTAGCTTGGTTGCTGCATCATGTTTAAATTCAATTGAAATTTGAATTAAGGAATTTTCCAAGCCTTAGAAAACCCCTAAAAATAACCAACATTTAAATCTCATCAACTGAGTCCAAGAAAATGTTCTCGTTATTATGTGAAAATATTGGCATGAGTTGAAATCCCAACCAATATTTTTGGAGTCACAGGAATAATTATTTTGGGCCTTTGAATTAAATCAATAACTATTTGCATTGGACATATATATTTTATAATTAATATATGTCCAATAAATCTGGAACATTTTATGTGGTTTGGTATATTTTAGTTCTAGCCACATAATTATTTTCAGGATTTTATAAAATGGTTTGGTGTTAAAACTAAACCCAAAACAAATTGCAGAATAGAAAATAGAAAACAGAGAAGGGAGAGAGATTTACCTGGGCTTACCTGGCCGGCCCAGTGGACAGCCCAGCCCACTGGCCTGGTGCCAGTCATCCCTAACCTCTGCCAGTAGGCAGAGGCGGGACAGCGCACGTGCGCGCGAGGCGCCACGCCTCCTCCTACTTGCCGCCGAGCCCCTGGATGCGTGGGTGAACGCCCAGGCGTTGTCCCGAACCGCTGGCCCCCTCTCACTCTCTCTCGAGCTCATCCCCCTCCTCTGCTCTTTCTCCCTCTCACCACCGTCACCGCCGTTCACCGTACCCAAGGCCACCGGCCCTCCCTCGCTTCCCCAACTCGTCCACGAGCTCCGTGACGTCGTCCTCGACCCCCTCACCAAACCACGCCCCGCCGGAAGCCCTGCAGCATCGCCTGCGAGCTCTTCTTCAACCTTCGGCCGCCGGCGACCTTGCCTTCGATCCGCCACTGTCCGTGCTTCCCCGGCCTCAACCTTGACTCCGTTCGACCCTTCTGTGAGCCTCCGTCGTTTCCCCCCTGTTTCCCCTCTCCAACCCTTCCTCTAGCCGTGCTTTTTGCCGGAGACCGAACCGCGCCACCGCCGAGCCTCTCGCCGCCGTGGCCACCGCCACCTAGAGCCGCAACCGAGCGCACCACCGTGCTCAGCGTGTCTTCGCGCACCCGTAGCCACCACCAGCTCCTCCCCACGTGCCCCCTAGCTCCAACCCGAGCACACCCGTAGCTCCGGCCGCCGCTCGACCCGTCGCCGGCGTCGATTCCGGTGACCCCGTGACCTGCTGCTGTCTCCACTAGATGCGCGGGAGCAAGGGCTATGCCCTGGTGCCCCCAGCGCGCGAAACCGCCGCCTTTAGCGCATTCCCGAGCCGCGCCGCCGCGTCTGGCCTTGCCGGCGTCAAGCCGCCGGCGGGTCTGACCCTGTTGACCAGGGGATTGACCCCGCTGACTAAGTTGACCTCAGGTGGGCCCAGTTTGACCCCCTGGGTCACTGACGTGTGGGCCCCAGGCCACTAACTAAACTAGGATTAGTATTAGTTTAACACTAACTAAATTTAGTTAGTTAGCTAACCACTGACCAGTGGACCCCACTGGTCAGGTTTGACCCGGACCAACCCTGTTGACTTGCTGACATCACCCTGACGTCAGGCTGACGCAGTAATTACTTTGTGGAATTTTGAAATAAATCAGAAATGATTTATTTTTTTCAGAAAATACCCAAAACTTCTAAAATTCATAGTAATTCAACCTAACTCCTAATAAAACAAATTATATATGAAAAATTATCAGGAAAATGCAATCTATCTATCTGTACCATTTTCATGCATGACAAACTAAGTTATACCTGCTGTATAACTGAAAACATGTGAATGGCATTTAAATAACCACATGTGGAGTTTGAATTTGAACCTTGGGTTCAAACCAACTTCATTTAATTGTGATGCTAGTTGCATTAGCTCAATCAACAGCATATTTCCATGTCACATTCATGCATCATATTGTTGCATGGCATTGATTGTGTTTCTCCTTTGTTTGCCGGTGACTGTCCCCTCTCAGTAGACGACGCTCTGACGATTGTGCAATGACACCGATGAAGAACTATATTATCTTCAGAAGTGCCAGGCAAGCAAAACCCCCTTGTTCATTCCGATACAATCCCACTCTCTCGCTCCTGCTCTTTTTTACTGCATTAGGACAACAACGATTCATCTGTTACTTGCTGCAGTAGCTGAACCCCTTTATCCTTTGCATGCCTTGTCATTGCCATAGTAAATAAATGAAACCCACTAGCATGAGTAGGAGTTGTTTGAGCCCTGATGTGCCTACTCATTCATGCTTGTTTGTCATGCCTGCTACTGCTTAGAGTTGAGTCAGGTCTTATTCATCGGGGATGAATTGGAGGTGTGTAAACATGTCCTACTGTGTGTGAACACGATTTGGTAAAGGTAGCGGTGAGAGGCCATGTAGGAGTACATGGTGGGTTGTCTCATTAAAGCCGTCCTCGGGAACTGAGTTCTATGTTTGTGATCCATGAAGCAGTTACTACCATGCATTGGGCCCGAAACCAATGGACCATCTCGGCTTCTTGATCACCCTTGTCCTCTGTCCAGGAGTTGCAAGTAGTTTCTGGTGTTTGTAGTATGCTGGGGGCCGCACGCCGCGCTGACCGTAGGGGTGGGCTGTGTTGCAGTAGGCACGTGGCCGGGCATGCCGGGCGCCCGTTTGGTGTCTCGGAACCCTGTACACATCGTTCGGGGCCGTATGTGGAAACCTCGGCCAGACTCCCTGCGGATGGAACCTGAATAGGCGATAAACCTGGACTAGAGACTTGAGTGTTTAGGTAGGCTGTGGCCAACACCCTCGTTGGGCTTCCGCTTGAAGGTTGCCGAGTACATGTCGTGTAAACGGCGGTAAGTGGTGAGAGCGTGTATGAAGAAGTACACCCCTGCAGGGTTAACATCATCTATTCGAATAGCCGTGTCTGCGGTAATGGACTTCTGGGTTGCCTATAATAGTTCATAGACAAGTGAAAGTGGATACTCTAAAACTCGCAAGATAAGCGTGAGTGCTATGGATGGCCTTCTCGTACGGAGACGGAAGTGGATCCATAGTGGTGTATTGATATGGTGAATATGTGGACTCGTGTGCGCCACCTCAAAAGAGTTGCTTGTAGTCGTAGTTCAGGATAGCCACCGAGTCAAAGCTGGCTTGCTGCAGTCAAACTCCACCACCCCTTTATTGATACTGATGCATATGTAGTTAGTTCTGATGTAAGTCTTGGTGGGTACAATTGTACTCACGTTTGCCTATTTTATGTTTTGCAGAGAGACGTCAGTCTCGCTAGTAGTTCCGTGTGGACTTCGATGTTTAGCTTGATACCTCAGCTACGATCTTGTGCCTTCGGCAGGATCTGATAGATAGTCAGGCTACTCAGCCTTTTTCATTTGTAGATTTCTGTACCCAGACATGTTAAGCTTCCGCGTGTGCTTTGACTTGTATGCTCTGAATGTTGGGTCATGAGACCCATGTTTGTAATATCTCGCTCCTCGGAGCCTAATGAATAAATACTTGAGTCGTAGAGTCTTGTTGTGATGCCATGTTGTATTTACACATATCGAGCATATTGTGTGTATGATTGAAATGCTTGGTATGTGTGGGATCCGACAATCTAGTTGTTTATCCCTGGCAGTCTCTCTTATGGGGAAATGTAGTCTAGTGCTTCCATGTGCCATAGTAGTCCGCTACAGCCCGGTTCACCGGAGTCCTGCTAGCCCAGCACTACTGCTCCGGAACACTTGACTGGCCGGCATGTGTTTCACTTCGTTCCTGTGTCTGTCCCTTCGGGGAAATGTCACGTGGTTACATCCGGAGTCCTTCCTAGCCTGCTACAGCCCGGGTTCCCGGAGTCCTATTAGCCCAGTGCTACAGCCCGGATTCACACGCTGCTGACCGACATGCTCGATGTTGATTCATGTATGCCTGTCCCCATAGGTTAGTGCCGCTTTGGGTTCACGACTAGTCATGTCGGCCCGGGTTCTCTGTCATATGGATGCTAGCGACACTATCATATACGTGAGCCAAAAGACGCAAACGGTCCCGGACCAGGTAAGGTGGCACCCGTGGGAATACCGTGCGTGAGGCCGCAAAGTGATATGATGTGTTACATGCTAGATCGATGTGGCTTAGGATCGGGGTCCTGACAGTATTAATGCCTCTCTATTCACAAATAGGTATATGCTCATTTTAAATCTTCTCCCATTAATACAGATCTAACTTCCATAAGTGCATTAATGCAACACATCCTGATAATGGATATCTAAATAATTAGATTACAGATATGTGAGTGTTGATTTTAGATCTCCTGGTATCAATACTTCTAATTTGCGTAGATGTGTTCAATACATCATTTTATATGACTGATTTCCATCTTTATGTTATCTTTAGAGTCGATCAAGTTGACCCTCATCAATTTAATGGTTGCACAAAATTTTGTTTACAACTTTGAAGTTGCTCATCTCTTGACCGATATTTATAAATAATTCCTCAAGGGAGAACCATAAATTAACTTTGGTATAAAATATCAATATCCTCAATTAGAAATAGTTATTTCTAAGTCAAAATTGTAAGATAGGTCCACCTCTACAACAGCCGTATGCCCCCCTTGTGAATATCCGATAAAGAAAATTTTCTTTTGGCTCTACGTCTAATCCACACCTCTCTCTCTCTCTCTCTCCCACAATGCGCTTGGAGGAACCAAGTGTTTTAACATGGCATCAACATTTGTGGCCTTGTGGGTAGATCAAACGGCATGAACTTTCCATACGAACAAGGCACCAATAGGACTACAAGGCTACCAAGTATATAGATTGCTGCATATGATGCATGAAGTTGATGCTGCATATTTGCAGCAGTGGAGGAATTGGACAGTAAATGGAATTACATGAAAAGAACCCACGAGTCACGGAATTACATCTCTTTATTGCATAAAAACTAACACCATATTAATCACGAACATTATATGGTGCAAGCAAGTTAGTGTTGAGGTAGACCAGCATGCGCAGCTCCTCATTTTCTTTGATCAGCGCCTTCGCCCATGGCATATCAGCAAGCTCAGACAAGCACTCATTAAGAGTATGCTCTGCCAGATCCACACATTGGGGCATATTCGAGGACTTCATCCCACCCTTTTCAGCTTGGTATTCCCTAATGATGGCTTCACAGATGTTAAGGGTGCTCAACACGGTCTCATAGTCCACCACACAAAAACGGAGAGCATGCATCATAATTGTGCCTTTCTTGGCATTTTGCAGCATTTTATTGACATCAACGCCAACCTTAGTGACATGTCCCTTAAAGATATCAATGGAGACAAGCACCAAGTCAAGGAGGTTCTTAGCCTTGGCACTCCGATTGTCGGACTGGAGGGTTGACAAACAGAATGCCTCTGTGATGTTGTGCCAGTAGTCGGAGGCGTTCTTGCATGCTTCCACTATGAGGTGTGTCGCCTTGGGTTTGCCACTGACACAGCCATTGGCTTGAGTAGCGGTGGCAGTGGAAAGGAGCATGAAGACTATCGCAGAGAAGACGATGGAGGTAGGCGGCATTGTTGCCATCCCTACAAGGCTAGCTAGAAACCTTGAATTGTAATGAAGCAGGGGAGGTAGAGATAAATGGATATGGAAGGTTGTGTGAGAGTAGAGATGGATGGATGGATGGAGGTTGAGCTTTATTTATAACATGTGCAGTGAGATTTCATAAATGCAGTATGTAGCTAGATCATGGATATCTATCTATATCTATACCTATCTATCTATCCATCTATTTATCTATCTATATCTATATATATATACCTCAATATACCTATACTAATTATAGACTCCCTAAAAAGTCTGATGTTAATCAGAAAGTATAAGTCGTTCATCTGGTAGGAACGAGGTATTACGGTGTTTTTTTTTGAAATAAAACATCCTCTTTATTTATTAGTAATAATGGTTACATCATCTATAAGAAAATTTACAATATCGTTCATAGGTTCCTCAAACCAATCCCTTGTTTCAGAAAATTTAGCTACTATAGCAATTTCATGAGCTACTTTATTTGCCTTCCTATTACAATGTTCAAATCTAACTAACGGAAAATCACAAGCCATAAAATAACAATCATCAAACACAGCTGCTGCCGCTCCCGCTGTATGTCCTCCATTCTTCATCGTGTCAATTACTTCCATATTGTCGGAGTTAACAACAATTCGGTTGCTTCCCGCCTTTTGTGCAAGTAATAAGCCAAAACGTAGTGCCATGGCTTCTGCTGTTAAAACATCTGCACACCAATCCATCTTCCAATTCCCTCCAACAATAAATCTTCCTTTATCATCTCTAAGTACAGCTCCCGCTGTGCCTCTAAGCATGTCTTGATCGAAAGAAGCATCGACATTTAATTTCACAAAACCTAGATGGGGTCTCGTCCATCCCTCTATTTTATTTGTTGCCTTGGAGGATTGGGCAATAACATAGTTCGTCGTTATAGCACGGGCTCCCATCGAAATTTGGTATGCATCTTGGGTCTTCCCCTGATGGACTAGCGAACGTCTTTCCCACCATAAATACCAGGCTGTTACAGCGATCAGTTCGCGAACATTCCGTATGCCCACTGTAGATAGCTCATGTTCTGGCATAAAAAGTAGAAATTCAAGTACTGCCTCTCCCGCACGATCGACCACACAGGCTTTTTTAATGGCTTCATGCAATCCCAGTTTTTCCCACACCTCTTTTGCCTTTTGACATAAAAATAATAATTGTTTAGTATCTTCATGCCCGTTCGAACATGATGGGCAGGTGGGCGAAACTTTCATATGTCTATTAGCAAGTGTAACACGACACGGGAGGGTTCCATGTAAGGTACGCCAAATAAAAATCTTCACTTTTGCTGGACAAGATAATTTCCAAATCTTGCTCCAAATAGTATTGACATTTATTCCTCCCATGCCATCTGAGTGTTGCAATTTCCTCCCATGTTGCGTTTTCCATTCCTCCAGATAAGCAGAACGAACCGTGAACAGTCCATTCTTTGTAAAGCTCCAAGCTATGAAATCCGACATGTCATACGTGGGGAGGGGGATCGTAAGCACCCTCTGGACATCAATTGGCCACAATGTTTGTCTTACCAAATCTTCATCCCAGCAATTGTTGATTGGATCTATAAGATCAGCAACTTTTGTTAGAATCTGCCCTCTTCTAGGAGTGATAATTTTCCTATTTGCCCCATTCGGGATCCATGCATCTCTCCAGATATCAATATTCCGTCCATTACCAACTCTCCAAATATAACCTTTTTTGAGAGAATCCACTCCGGCCATAATACTTTGCCAAGTGAAAGAGGATCCTTTTTTCAGACCCGCATTCATTAAATCTCCATCTGGAAAATATTTAGCTCTCAAGACGGTGGCACATAGGGAATCAGGGTTATCAAGCAGGCGCCACGCTTGTTTAGCTAACAAGGCCAGATTGAAACAATGTATGTCTCGAAAACCCATTCCTCCTTGGTCTTTTGGTACACACATCTTCCACCATGCCATCCAATGCATTCTCTTCCGATTGTCTTCGTCACCCCACCAAAAATGCGACATCGCGTCAATGATTCGTTTACAAATATTTTTAGGAATTTTAAAGACGGACATTGCATAAGTTGGGATAGCTTGTACAACCGATTTGAGAAGGATTTCTTTTCCTCCTGCTGATAGCAACTTTTCCTTCCAAGCACTGATTTTCATAACAATTCGATCTATTAAGAATTGGAAACAATCACTTTTGTCCATACCCACATTTGAAGGCAGACCCAAATATTTGCCATTGAGAGCTTCAGTCATAATGTTCAAAATAGTACATATATGCGCCTTATCTTCCACTTTCGTGTTGGGACTAAAAAATATACTAGATTTTTCAACACTCACCATTTGCCCCGATGCAGCACAATAAGCATCCAAAACTGCTTTCAGCGCCTCCGCGTTCATGGAATTAGCTTGCATCGGGATTAATGAATCATCCGCGAATAGGAGATTTGAAATAGATGGGGCATCTCTGCTAACTTTAATTCTGGAAATACTTCTATTCTCCTCTGCATTAGCTAAGAGTGCAGTCAGGCCTTCCGTACATAACAAAAATAAATATGGGGAGAGAGGGTCCCCCTGTCTCAGTCCTCTAGATGGTTTGAAGCTCTCTGTTTCTTCCGTGTTAAAACGAACCCGATATTCCACCGATGACACACATTGCATAATTAAATTCACCCAATCCTGCTGAAAGCCTAGTCTCAACATGTGATTTCCTTTAAAAAAGGCCACTCCACTCGGTCATATGCTTTTTGTGCATGTCCAGTTTGATTGCACACAGGCCCTCTTTACCGGTCCTTTTATTTTTTATTTTGTGGAAACATTCATACGCCACTAAGATGTTATCTGTTATCATTCTTCCAGCCACAAAAGCACTTTGGGTAGGGCTAATAATATCTGGGAGGATTGTCTTCAAACGAGCAGCAATCATCTTTGAAATGACCTTATACACCACATTGCACAAGCTGATTGGTCTAAATTGAGTTACCTTTTCCGGGGAGTTCACTTTTGGGATCATTACTATTGTAGTATCATTCCAACCATCAGGTATAGTACATGTATTCACCGCTTGGAGAACCTCTTCAGTCAAATCATCCCCTAACATAGCCCAAAATCTCTTATAAAAAATGGCGTGAAGGCCATCTAACTCCGGCGCCTTTATAAATCACCAATGTCAAAAAGTGCCTTCCTAACCTCTTCGGCCGTGTAGGGGCCGAGGTATTACGGTGTTGATTCACCTAGTAGAAATTCTCACGTTAATGAAGAAAAAGAAAAAATGTGAACCAGTTATCTCGTGCGGCCATGTTATTACGTCCAGCAACGGCGATTCTAATAGGGTGACTTCAACAGGCCAAAGCCTACCATACAGATTTTTCTTTTCTTTTACTACTACTTCTGTGCGATCTCAATAGCCCAACTTCTGGTACCATGTACACACGTACAGTGAACATGCAACAGGAGCACCGTGCCACAAGTAAAATGCGAATGCGCCCACGAGCCAAGCCGCCAACCCTAGTTGCAGACAAGTTCGGCGGGGGTTGCAACCTGCAGGAGATCGCCGGCTTGCCGGCAGTCGGGGGCGCACGTCGTGAGGCTGAGGGAGTCAGGGAGAGTTGTTGGGGGAGGGGGGCACCAGCTGGGTAACTGGATGGGATGCATCACCAAGAGAAGTGGGCACTGGTTGTTGACGTATTGGCAAATTCGTGAACTATTTGCAGTGAAAACTACATGTCTATTATCTATTGTAATTACTAGTTCATGCACTATTAACTAATTTAGGTTTCGTTCTGTTAGTAGGACTAGCAAAAATGCCCGTGCGTTGCACCGGGGAATTTGTGCTTCGCTAGTCCAGCTCATGCGTCGGCAGGACGAGCCTGGAAAGCGCAAACTCCTCCTCGTCCCGACAAATAAGGAGCTCCTCCTCGTCCCATGGAACATCTCCCCAGTGTACCGGGTCATGATTGGTGGCTCCCGATCAGGAGAAAGAAAGCCGACAACGATGAGCTCGCCATGGACTTTAAGTGGCTCCACTATTCACGTCCTGTCAGGAATTGCCATTGTCAATTGGGGGAAATCCGTGAAAACCTCAGACATCTCATTTCCTCTTTCACCACGTCTCATATAAACCTGCAGAGCTTCAGAATTGTATTATTGCAGAGATTTTTAAACTCAGTAGACGGTATAGATATGGTACCAAGAAAATACTCCTGTCTCTCTTGAGTCTCTTCACTAAGGTGATCACCTTCGAAGTGCCTCACTAATGATATTTTTTCCACAACCAAAAGCACCAGGAATAGCATCATGTTCCTCCAACAATTGAGGGGAGAGATGCATCACACATGCTAGAACCATTTCAAAATAGATAAGATTGCAATTTCATGGTGTTGTCAGGAAATGAAAATTCAACATCTGTAAATGTTTGGTTATGTAAGAGCAGAAAACATGATAAATAAAAACACACATCTTATTGTGGAAATTGAAGCTCAGATAATTTGTGGACAAACCTGTCCTGTAAGAAGAGGTGTATCCACATTGAGCTTTGATGCAGCAGGTATTCTGTACGAGCATGCCTTATATGCAGCTGAATAAGTTCCAAACATTAAGCTAGTAATTTAGTCCTCAAAAAAGTTATACAAAATAACTTCTTTAATTGAAGCATAGTAAATTACTTCTTGATGCCCTGAAATTCCAGCTCTAGAAATGTATCCTGCATACATAGCAACAGCAGTTTTTCCAACAAAGTTAAGCAATGGTAGAACGAATGTGAATAAATAAAAATGTGACGAAGTGATAGAGTCCACATAACCTGTAGGCTGTATTGACCCTCTGGAGCAATGTAATTTACTTTCCCGTGGAACCAAGTGAAAGGGCAACATGGTGGTTCATCAAATTATTCTAAAAAACAATCTGTCAGAGTCAGGAAACATTAGAATGTGCATCCGCAAAAAAAAAGGAAACATTAGAATGTGCACACGGGTTAATAATGAAAATCTGACTTGTTTTTATTTT